GCTGAGCTGGTGATGTGGGGACACCCAGCAATGCCACCCTGGGCTGAGCTCCTGGTGTGGGGACACCCAGCAATGCCACCCTGTGCTGAGCTCAGAGGCTCAGGAGTCCTCAGCAAATCCCAAGGGATCCCTGTGGACTTCCAGGAGGTCGAGCTGGGCTAACCAAGAGCGTGAAGGTGATGAAGAGCTGATCACAGCTCTCCAGTAAAGCTACAGAAAGGACGTCCTGAGGGTGAAGGAGCCCTGCTTTTAGTGAAGTGATTGTTTTTAATAGCTTTTAGCAGTGTCACGGGGATTTGGGGCCTCACTTGCACCACCAGTGCTGGTGGAGTAACAACAACAGCACTGCCTGATCCATGAATATTCCTGGGAGAGGTACTGGGCAGCTTCCCAAAGCCACAATGAACTACCTGGCACAAGAATTCCTTCCCCCCCTTCTCACCATGTAAAGGCTTTGGCCAGCACAGTTATTACAGCAAAGAGGGGAGATTTCTGCATGCTCCTAATTGACGCATTTATGCCAGCAAAACTTCAAAAGTCATCCAGACTCAGGTGGAGTTTTTCAGTTGGGTTTCATTTGGTTTTTTTTGCAGCCAGGCTCTGTCCACTGGATGGAGAATTTCTCTTTGCTTCTTTAGGCCAGGATATTAAGCCAAATCTGTCTTTCTGAGGAAAAGCAGCCCTTACTCTTTCTAGGAAAGTCTCAGTTTCTTGGTAAACAATATGTTTGACAGTGGTTAAGTCTGAGGTGGAAAATAATATGGATAAATGTTGGAATTTTTGTTTAGTTTGGTTTGGCTTTCAGTTGGTAACTTTAAGCACAGCAACCATTTGAAATTGTCTGTTAGTAATGCTGTTTCCTGAACTTATTTCCATGAGCACCTCGTGTGGAGATACAAGCTTTGAGTGGATCAGCTGTGTCATGTCCCTGTTTTATTAGGTGGGACAGTAATGGTAGGAAAGGGTTAATTTTTTATCCACATCTGCTTGGTTTGTAACACTTGTAGGTTTGTTTCAGGTCTGCGCCTTGATTCCCTGGTTTTCCTGCAGTCACCAGTTCTGTGTGCAGAACAGTTGTTGGAGAGCAGGAGAGCACTGCTGCTTGCTGCTGTCACTGTCACCTGTGGGGCAGCAAAGCTTTGGGATGGGTGTTTTGGAGCAGAAGACGTTCTGGACTCTGGAGCATTCCTGGCAGCTTGTGGCATTGCTGCTTATCCAGAGCCCGGGTGTGCTGTGCTGCATTCACCTGAAGCAGAGTGCAGCAGGGATGAATAATCCCTCAGCATGCTCTGGTGGTTCCAGGGTCAGTAATGCTGAAGGGGGGATCCCACCTCTGCTGCTGCTGCAGGAGGCAGCTCCCACAGCTCAGGAGCAGAGCTCATCCCTCTCAGACACCTACCTGCTTTTGTTCTCCTTAATAACCTGTCAGCAGGGAGATGACTGTTGGATTTTCTTGCTCTTGTTCTCCCCCACCCAGCTGAAGCCCGAGTGAATCATTGCTGCGTGGGTACAGCCCTGGGAGCTGGGCTCAGCCTCAGAGAGTCTCTGCAGAGCTGGGGTGAGCAGAGCAGGCTCTGTGTGACCAAGGAGCCCTGCATACACTTCCACAGGCTGGGCAAGGCAATTTCTGGTGGCTGAACCTGCCCCCACAGAGTCCTTGGCTGCTGCACCACTTGTCTGTGGCAGGGACTTTGTGGGAGTCTGCTTAATGGTGCAGAAAACAGGACAATTATTTTAACTTGCTCTCAGTAGCTTAAAGGCAGAGCAGATTTACTGTGTTTTAAAAACTCAGGTCACTTTTCTGGTCAGTGATGCCAGTACCAAGCCAAGTACATCTTTGGACCATGGAAGTGCATCCATTACAGGTTTTTTTTCTGGTTTTAGAGCTGAGGTGACACCCAGAAGTCACTTGTTGATCTGCATTAGTAGGAGAATTTCTTCAGTACTGCAATTGGATGCATTTTTCTCCATTTAAAATCCATTCGCTGATGGGCTCGTTTTTCATTAAGTCAAGCAAGGTACAGAGTATGCAGAGTGTGAAATTATTCAAGTGAATACACACATATTAATGATAGCTTTATTTGGATTAGTAGGTGCTCTATTTGCCTGTTGTAAAAGCATCTGTCTCAGGTCTCTCACCTCCACTGGTGTTACCACAGCAGCCCGAGGGTGCTAACCTTGGAAATTCCACACTAGGCAGGATGAGACTGTCTCCATTTATCCTTGAGCTGTGCTGATAGGAGGTGATAAATGAGCCTATATTTTCCTGTGATGGATACAACCAAACCCTATCCTAACTTTGTTTGGCATGTCAGCACAATCTGTTCCTTTATTGCATGCAATTAAAAAAACCCGTGAAACTGCAAACACTCCTTTAATTAAAGCCCCCACAGCCACAGTTTGTCATGCTCAAGGCTCCTGTGGTTGTTAAATGAATTGGGTTTGATTGCTGAGGATGCAGATGCGGGGATTGGTGGGGATTTTGGGATTTCAGGTATTCAGGTGGTGCTGAGGATCAGTTTGGTGTTGTACTGCTACAGGGGACTTTATGCAGAAGGAGAAGTTTGCTTTCCTCACATCAGTACAAATTTGTTAAGGTCAGTGGAATCAGGTTTATTACATATAGAAATAGAAATTTATTAGGTTTATTACAGGTATCAGTAGAGGAACTGTGTCAGTGTCTGGTAAAATGGAAGGAGAATTGTTCAGCTGTGTGAAGGGATTAAAGAATCCTGAAGCATTGTGTGGTATAAGCACGATCTTGGGACAAGGTTTTCCATGTTCCCCGGTTGAAGAAGCCCCCTGAAGGAAGCAGTGCCCATCCATCTCTGCTTTGCTGAGTCCCAGCTTCAGAGCTGCTCTCTGTATTTCACATTTCCTTAGGCAGCAGAGGTGACCCTAAAGGGATGAACCTTTGTCCCCAGGAGTCTTTGCTGCTTTGGAAGGTGTTACTGTGCTGATATTTGACTGCGGTATTTGTGGGTTTAATGCAAGTGGAATATATGGTTCTTGTCTTTTCTGCCTGGGATGAAAGGGAGGAGCAGGGGAGGGTGATTGCTGCTGCAGGAGCCTTTACAACTTCCCGAGCTGCAAAGGCTTCCTCACAAAGCACGGCCCTTTGTACCCGGGGGTTTGTTCCCTTCAGCAGGGCTATTCTGTTGAATTAAACTGCTTTTAAATCGTGTTCACAGTGGCACTTTTGTTGGGGAGGCTCCCAGGGCCTCTGGAGGAGCATTGACATTCCAGGGCATTGTTCTCCCATTCAACCTGAGCCCTGCCTCTCCTCCCAGGGCCAGGTCACTGCTGTCACCCACTGGTCTCCTCTGCTTTGCACTGGGATTCAGCTCCTGACAGGGGGTTTTAGCAGAGGGACCAGCTTCCCCAGCACAGCCCAGGGAGACAGAGCAGGAGGTTGGAAGGTGGCTCCTGAGCCACATCCTCCTCTCTTTGGAGGCTGCTTGTGTTCATTGTGGAGAGGATAAACTGCATCTCTTCAATCAGCTGCCTTAGTGACCTGTTCAGTGGGCTGGATGGTGGAATCCCCATCCCTGGAGGTGTCCAAGGGACACCTGGATGTGGTGCTCAGTGATCTGGACAGGGTGACAGGGTAGGGATTTGGCACAGGTTGGATTTAATAGCCTTGGAGGGCTTTTCCAGCCTCAATGACTCTGTGATTCTGTGTTCTTAATTTTGTGCTGGCTTGAGAAGGGAGTTGCTGAGGATCAGGGTGGTGCCTGTGCAGGTGCAGTGAGGGGCAGGGAGGCCCTGATGTGCTGGGAGGGCAGGTTGGGCTTCAGGGAGCTCCACCTGCTCAGCCTCAGAGAGTATAGTCAGCTCTTTGTTCTGAAGGGGCCCCACACCAGAGCAAGGGCCAGTCACAAAGCTTTATTTCTGTATGTAGATTACACACTGGCTTGCACAAGGAGATTACCAGATTTCTCAGTTGAGCCTCATTCCCTTTCCCAGAGATGGAATTGCCCCTCCCAGGTGCTGCCCACCATCAGCCCTTCAGGTGGCTCCTGCCTGAAGCTCCTCTACAGATAAAGGTGTCTTTGTGTTGGTCCTTCCATTCCAGCTCCCTCCTGGTAACTCTGCACTAGCCAAGGGTTGGGACAAAAGCCAGGTCTCTGTTTAGCGTGGAACTTTGGAAAATCTGTTCCTGTAAATAATTGATATTAGTGTCACTACAGCTCTTGTTGCTCTGCAGAAGGAGCTGTGCTCAGTGGTTGCCAGGTCTGGAATGAAGTGCTTATTCCTTGTCTTGTGCAGTGTCAAAGAAGCACGGGAAGCTCATCACCTTCCTGAGGACATTCATGAAGTCGCGCCCAACGAAACAGAAACTGAAACAGCGGGGGATCCTCAAGGAAAGGGTGTTTGGCTGTGACCTGGGCGAGCACCTGCTCAACTCTGGCCATGACGGTAAGAACAGCCTGCTCCTGAGCTTTCCTCTGCTGGGAATCTGTCAGGGTGATCATAGCTGTCCAGGGTCGTGCTGGGGGACAAATGAGTGACACAAATCCGTGCTTGAAAGGGAAACTGAGGCTGGTGAGAAGCAAACATTGTGCTTTGGTGTGGGAAGCGTCGTGGTTTGATGTGGGAGCACTGAAGGTGGCTGCAGCTCCTGCAGATGGGTTTGCAACCTCTTCAAGCTTTCAAATAATTTTTTTTCCAGGAATATAAGCTTTATTTGTATGTCAGTGTCAGTGGTTAATTGACAGGCGTGTTAAACCCCTACACTTCTCTTAACTCGGTACCTTTGTATGATTCTAGCACAATTTGCAGTGTAAATCCTTCATCTGCCTTTTCCTTGGATTTCACAGGATTTACAGGAATTAACTGGATATAGTGTTTCCTCACAGCTGACTTTTCCTCTCTGTTCAGGGTCCCTTTTCCCTCCCCATCAGCAGTTCAGGGAGGCAGAGGAGAAAACCTCTCCATTCCAAGAAAAAAATTACACAGTTGTTACCGCTCTTCCTGGGATGAACTTTGATTTCACGGGCTCTTTCCTGCCCTTTCCCTGTGCCACCTCCAGTGCAGGTTCCTGCAGTGCTGAGGAGCAGCCAGAGCACTGGGATGCTGTCCCAGGTCCCCAGGCTCAGTCATTCCCATCAGGAGCCCACACCCAGGGATATTTGGGAACGCAGCCTGGAGCAGCTGTGGGCTCTAGGTGGTTTGTCCAGGAGTCAGGAAGACAGTGATGGGATCTGCTGGGTGGCTTTGCAGCAGATCCCTTGTGCCAGAGTTGTCCATCTGGCGTCCCCCAGGTTTTGTGTGCAGGGCAGAGGGAGAAGTGACAGGATGTGTGGGGCAAAGAAGGAGTTTCTCTGTTAAAGTTGTTTTCAGTGAGTCTTCAGACCCCTTGTTTGAAAAGGGGCTGGTGAAGTCCAGGGAGTCATTTCTGCTCTTTTTCCAGCTGATTGGGTTGGTAACAGCGATGTGCACTCCCTCACCTGATGTAGGTGTTTCAGTACCAGCTGGTGCAGAGTATGTGCTTGTCCTTATGGAGTCAGAGCTGTGGCAAGGCTCGTTGGCTCAATTGGAACCACCATAGATCCTTATTGAGGCTTGAAAAGCAGTGGAGATGGTTTGGAGTCAGGAACAGGCAGTGACCCGTGTGGAACTGCATCAGGAGTAGGTAACTCACAGCACTGTGTGGCTCTGGAGCTGCTTTTATGTGTGTGCAGTGGGAGCACTCTTGGAGGGCAGGAGCCATGCCAGCAGAGTGAGCTCATTCATTGATGGGAAGGAGGGAATTCCCTTCCATCCCCAGCCCTCCTGTCTGCTTTCCTTAGGCACAAGTCAGCAGTGGGCAAAGCTTTTCCCTGCCCTCTGCACTGACATCTTCTCCTAGCTTCAAGGGGTGGTTTATTTAGCACTCAAACATCCATCCTGAGCTGAACTAAACTGCTTTAACTCCACTGGAGGTTCTTGTTTGATGGTCTCTGGGAGCTGTGTCCTTGTCCTGGTCTCTCCCCACCATCCCACACATCAGGGTGACATTGACTGGGCTGTGCTAATGAGGTCCCTCAGCTCAGGAGTCACCAGCTGCTTTCACCCTTGCTTTAATAACCCTTTCCTAACTCCCTGGAGTGCAGCAGATCCAATTTGAGTGTTGCCAGCAGGGGCATGGCTCCGTTTCCCACAGCAGGGTTGTTGTTTTCTGTGTGATTCAGCTCCCTGACCTGTATTCCAAGTGCCATCATCGCCAGGATGGGGCTCCTGGAGACGTTTCTGGCTCCCTGCGAATTGAGCTCTGTGCGTGCACAGAATTTTAAGATCCCTTCCTCCTGTAGCATTACTGTAGCTCAGTTATGGAGCCTCTGGCGGTGCTGACCTGCTGAAAGAGGCCTGAGGTGAATTAAAGAAGCTGCTTCTCATAATCAGAACATCAAAATCTTTTTCCAGAAGCTCAGAGCACACTCTGGCTGAAGTCTGTGTGTGGTACCTGCTGGTGATATTTTGGAAACACAACTTAGAATGTGGGAGTTCAGAAGAACAAAAGGAACCCAATACATTCATTGGTTTGTTTAAGCTCGTTTTAATTTTGTTGTGTCAATGCCCAATCCCCAAAAATATTCATCGGGGCTGAAGGGGCAAATGCCACTAGTGATTGCAGTGAGTGACAAGGCATCATGTGCACCTCAAAAATGCAATATTGAAACAAACTGGAGTTATGCTAAGGATTTCCTTAGTTACCAGCTTTGTGGAGATGACAAATCTTCAAGAAGTTGCTGAGAAACAGCTTGAGCAGCCCAAATTCTGTAGTCATGAATCTCAAACTGTGCTCATTTTTAGTGAGCAGGAAGAGGAACGAGAGAATAAAAGGGATAAGGACAAAAACTGCAATAAGTGTAACATTTTTTAATAAACCCTGCACTGAGGCAGCTGGCCCAGATTGCATAGCCAGGAGAAGAATGTGTTTACTGTGTACCCAGAGGGGATTTACAAACACAGAGGAGATGTTTCACTTGCTGCAGTACCTTGTCTTTCTATGGGCTCAGCAAATAATCTCTCGTTCTGCATCCTCTGAGCCACTCTGGGGAGGAGGATAAATTTGGCATGGGATGCACAGGAGGAAAGTGATGCAGGAATGTGCCCTGGTTTGCTGGTAGGGAGCAGTGGCCCTGGGTTGCCATCCTGCAGAGCTGCACGTGCTGCACTTGCCAAGGCCTGACCTAGCAGAGCATTTGTGATCTGAGATTTTGGGATGGGGATGGGCCGAGGCTGTGCTCTCCCAGGCTGGTGGGACAAGAACCTACAGCTCCAGAGATCAAGATATGATATGTCTGTGCCCAGGTTTCTCCCTAGGGAAAGGTCTGGGGAAGGTGGCAGGAGTGCAGGAACAGGCTGGTGGTTCTGCTGCCCTGGGAAGATGTGCCTTATTTCCCTGAGTTCCTGTGTGGGTCTGAGCAGGAACACTGAGCAGGTACAGGGAGGGAGGTGAGGATTTACCAAGTGTTTACAATAACCATGTGAGGGATGTGCAGTGCACCTGAACTCTCCTGTGTTTCTGGTGATTCATGGTGGGGATTGTGGGGAGTGCTGGGCAGTGTCCTGGAGGTTGGGTTTGGTGTGTTTGCTTTTCAGTTCCAGTTTGGTTTGTGCTGACACTCTGAGCTGTCCAAACCCTGGAGCCCTTCTGGGGTAGGAGTTACACCTCCATGAGGTGCCAAGCTGTCCTTCCCCAAAGGCCCTTGGAGGTGAGGGGATGGAGGGAAGGAAGCATTGCTATCCGGTCTCTTTGGTGAGGTTCTGAGTCATGGCCAGATCGCAGGATTATTTTTCAAAATCATCTGTGCTCCAAGCTGCTTGGGAAAGAGGGAATTGGGAGTTACAAGGCTCCTGGGCAAGGGGCTGGGTATGCATAGGTGTGTTGCTTCCAGTGAAAGTCTCAGCAGGGTGTCCTTTTCTTCTCTGTTGTCACATGTCAGCGCTGAATGATGGGCTGGGACCTGCAGGAGTAAAACCAGTTTTGATGTGAGGGATTTTGGACTTCTCTGTTGGCAGAGCCTGTGCTAATGCTCCCTTCAAGTATGTTGGTTTGCACAATATTTCTCCAGACACCCTGTGGAGCCTGCCTGAAGAGTCCTGTCTGCATCCCATGCAGTGCCTTACTCATCTCTTGGCTCCTGCTGGGCTTGCCTCCCTGCCAGGGAAGCGTCCCTTGGCAGCACACCAGGCTCAGCAGGGAGTTGCTGTTTCTCCATTGCCCTCAGAAGTGCTCCCATTTGGGTTGGTGCAGTTGCCACCTGCCTTGCTGGTTTGTTTTACAAATTCACGGGGTATTCTGAGTTGGGAGGCACCACAAGGATTGTCTGGCCCAGTCCCTGTCCCTGCACAGACAATCCCATCCTGAGCATCCCTGGGAGTGGTGTCCAAACTCTCCTGGAGCTCTGGCAGCCTCGGGGCTGTGCCCGTTCCCTGGGGAGCCTGGGCAGTGCCTGAACCCTCTGGGGGAAGAACCTTTCCCTCATCTCCGGCCTGACCCTCCCCTGACACAGGTCCAGCCATTCCCCTGTGTCCTGTCGCAACTTTATGGAACTGTAGATACAGCAAATCCACCCCAGTCCCTGACTCCTGAAGAGACCTTGTTCTTACTCCCTTTGTAGGCAGAGATTCTTTTTTTTTCCCAAGTTTTTCTCTCTTGAAGGAAACTAAATAGAAGTTGAATTTAGCCCGACCCCAGTTACAGGATTGTGCTGGCAGAGGATGTTTGTGGAGTGTGGGAGCTGGTGGAGTGCTGCATTGCAGCAGCTGCACCATGCCCTGCTTCCTGCCTTGGAATGTTTGGGAGCTCCCCACAGCTCCTGGGGCTGGATGGGAGTGAGGGGGAACATGGTGCTGGCCTGCAGGAGAAGCTCGGGGAGCTGGGCATGTTCTTGGTGAGCTGATGGAGGGACAAGGGGTCAGATGAAGCCACAGTGCCCACAGGGAACCCAGGCCGGGCTGGGGCTGCTGCAGGGGGTGGGATGGGTCAGCACAGAGCAGGGAAAAGCCACTTTCCCATTCTGTGAGTGAGGGACTCCTGAGCTGCAGCACGTGAGTACATTAACAATGTACTTTTTATTTAAATACTGCTGGGCATCGTGTGCTGGGATTGCTTGGACTGACTGCAGAGCATGGGGACATACTCTTTGAAGCCAGAGGTGTTCCTGTTGCCCATCACTTTCTGGGAATGACCTTTCTTCCCTTAGTACTGCACTGAAGCACAAGGCAACCCTGGGGTCTCCCAGTGAGGTGGTGTCACAGATTCACCTCCAGAGATCATCCATCATGCAGCCAGCTGTATCCACAGAGGGTTTTGTAGGTTAATGGCACATGTCATTTTTCGTACCTCTGTGCCTTTGTCCTGGTCATACATCATCAGCTTCCATCACTGGAAAAGATATACTCACAAATGAAATTTTTAATTGATAAGT